GATTCAAAGTGTGCAAAGATTGTCGCCCACACAAGGATGTGAGACTCCCACCGGTTATTGTGACTGATCGAAGCAGACGGCGCAAGCAACGTGATCGAAAACAAAATGCCAGCCAAAAGCCAACAGCAAATGTAACTAGAGCCGAAAAAGCTGAGAAGCACCGGGAAAAGCGTCGAAGTGAGCGCGAAAGCCACAATCCAGAGCAATTGGATACCGAAGAGGCAGTGAGACGGTACAATCGACGCATACGACGGCGTGAACTACGTCAACGACGTCGAGTTGCAGGCCATCGCAGCCGTAAAGTATCCAAACAGCCGGAAGCGGAATCCGATTTGCCAGGTTTTGTGAAAATTGGTGACACAAGTATTTGAAAGATTCGTGTCAAAAATCGTAAGGCCAAACTACAATTATGGCAGCGAATACATTACGATGCAACTGATAAAGGAATTGGGTTATTGGGGTCAAAGAAAATAGCCTTCCAGAAAAACTGGCACTCAAGCCCAATGAATGATCAGAACGCTTTTACTGCTACTTGGCATCGTGACATCTGTGCGGCGAAGTGCATCTTAAACAGAGGTATGTGATCTACGCAATACAATCACATTCATGTTTTATTGTATTTCAATTTCGAGTTCAATTCGTTCATTCTAGGCCGTTGTATGGTTTTCGACTTGAATGTGCACGAATCATTTGTGTTACCACCAGAAAGGATATGGCCAAAATGTCGAGATGGCCAATCGAGATGGCCAATCAAATGCTGTCGATGAAAAGTAGAGCGTAGATTAAGAGTATAAAATAAAACATTAACGATTAGTTATTATCAAAGCTTGATTTTTGTGGCTTTGTACATTAAAATGTGTGTGCAAATACACGATGTAATACGGGTTAAACCCGTAGGTAAGTTGTTGTATGTAAGATTTTCTCAGTCAGTTGGTCAATTTCAATATCCACACCAATATTTACCAAAGTCATAAATGGACCTAATTCAAGTGAAGCGTACAGTTGGATGATACTCGAGGCGTTGAAATTCGTTATGACGTTGAAATTCGTAGTAACTGTAGTCAAATTAACCCCCAAATTTTACTTTAAATGTTCACCCTAATATAACCTTGTTTCACACGTGATTTGTTATTTTGTTATCAATTGATTCATAATCGTTTTTATATCCTTCTAATTGATTTGTTTTTACCGTTTTTTTCTACTTCCATCGTGACGTTAAAAATGACTGAAACTACACACAAATGCGGGCCTTAATTGGACCGTTTACATACGCTTGGTAATGGATGTATTTGCGTTAACAATTGTTTCTTGGGTTTGTAGCGGAGGTTGTAGAGCTTTTCAAGCACGCATCGCAATATACAATCTTATTTGAAAAATTTGCGTGTTCATATCACTACCACTTTGGATATCAATGCCGTTTGTCCGATTATGGCTTTTTGAAATTGGCAGATTTAATGGAGTCAATATCCGGCATAGTTGAGGTAGACGTAACATTTAAATACAACGATTAAATAACTCACTAATTGAATGATATTTTTGAATTTTTAGATGGAATTTTCAAATGAAGAGGATCGAAAAATCTGTCTGTCTTCAAAGGCTGCTCAGCGTGTTTTTTCGGAACAATTGAAGTTTTTGATTGAATCATATTCGGGCTCAAGTGATAATTTGACCAATTTGCATGAAGTTTTAATATACCATAAGAAACATTATGGATACCAAATAGTTCCGCAATCCTTAGGCTTTGATGATATGCTCACTTGCATAAATGCACTTCCGTATATAGAGGTAGATAATTTGACTAATAATTTTAAAAAAAATCACTTGATTTTAAAACTAACAATTTTCGGACAGAAGATAAGTTTTGTATGGGGAAGTTATGCACATACTTGAAATGGGATTATTTTCCTCCATAAATATAAAAATTCGCTTGAATATGAATATCGGATATTTCTATGCGATATTTGTGATGCAATCACCAAGCGACACACAGAAATTGACACTATGCATTTCTGCTGAGTTGTTGTATCTGTATGTGTTCAACACAGTCAATCTACTTAATAGTTCATTGCTGCAGCCCATTTCATCAAATGTTTTCATGAAAAGTTTTCATGAGATTTTCTTCACAAGTTTTTTTGATGAAACAAATGTATCTAAATGTAGCAATGAGAAAATCTCAATAGAAACGTGAAAATATTCTCATTTTTTGACATTATTTTGAGCGCAAATTTTAAATTTTCATTTATTTTTGAGCCAACCATGATGTGATCCCACATTTTTGAGAAAAAATCTCGAAATTTCAAGTTGGCGCTCAAAATAATGTCAAAAAATTGAGAATATTTTCACGTTTTTATTGAGATTTTCTCATTGCTACATTTAGATATATTTGTTTGACCAAAAAAACTTGAGAGGAAAATCTCATGAAAACTTGTCATGAAAACATTTGGTGAAATAGGCTACTGGTTCAAAACAATATCGAGCGGTTTAATGTTACATTCTCTTAATACCACTGAAAATATTATTGCGTTAAGCTGATCTCGATAAAAAGATTGGAACGCCATTAGTGGCGCAGTTAATTTTTCTTCCAGAGATAATGATTTCGATTTGTTATGTATTGATTTAAAACTTTGAACGACATTTCGAATATATGGCGTTACTGCCTTATATGTTTTTCGTGATACGTTTTTTGTATAATGGCGATGAAGCTACAACAACAATAACACGTATTTCCAATGTAAACATAAGACGAGCTCTATTGACACGACGCTTGTGGTGATAGTTGAAGATTTCAATCACTTAAGCGTATGCATGGCCGATAATCAAGTAGCCTTTCGCGCAAACCGTATAAATCCTGTGCTAGCGTGTCTGTATTGTGTGTATATATTGACCGCTCAACGTGTGTTGTGAGTATGACCACTAGAGGCAGGTCGAATGTTGTCGTCAGTATGGATTTCATAGCCACGTTTTGTATAAATATATAATATTAGCATAAATAATGTTTTTTAAATATCTGATATTGTTTGATGGTCAGAATTCAAATAATTGATCTATGTTAGATTATTATAACATTGACAGAGTAGACATGACACAAAAAAACACATACAAATTTCCAAGGGGCGAATTACTACTGAAAAATTGAATTCAGTACTTTTCAGTGGTTTTCAGTACTTTCAGTGCCCAATGTATTAGTATATGAATGTCCGAGAATGAAAACGCAACTTCTATTCACAACACATATAAGTGAAACAAAAATAAAAAATTTATTGAAATGAAACAACAAAATCGAATTTTTTCAAAGTGTAACAACAAAAAAGATTTTTTTAAAGTGTAACA